TTCCTAGGTTATATCATATATTGGCATGTACTTGAAATTCCAAATTTTTTGAGTGATTTGTAAATAAAATTACTGTTCTTTACATATAATCTGTACCCTAATAAACTTACAACTGAGAGAATTGTTTCTTACACAACTGTTAAATATATCATCTACAAAAAGGACATTGCATATATTTTATTATGTGATTGAAATGTCGCCCTTTATTGATATAGTCAAAAGTCGTTAATCCGGACTCACCGGGACTTCAGCGATTTTTCTGGATTATAGATCATCAGTTTAAATCTGGTAAGATGGCATGCAGAAATTATAAAATTAAAAATATGAAACCGTAATTTATGAAATAAAGAACAATTATGATCTAAAGGGTATCAAAATTTACAAAAAGAAAAAGCTTGATATTTATTTGTTTACTTTATTAAACATTTCTTTCAATGTAAGTTGTTTAAGTTGCTTCATTTCATGTGATAATACTTTCTCTTTAATTCTATTAAACAGACATAATTTCTTGTATAGTTACAAAGTTCCGCTGTTTCAAGTCCTATAATTGCTGTGTCGAGAATGCCGACTAATTTGTCAATCGAAATTTTTTCGTCTTCAATAACCTCGGTGTCACTTCACTATCGGAAGCAAATTATAATGACGAGGAACTTGATTTAAATCATATCAAAGACGGAGTACATCGAGATGAAATACAACATTTAGTAAGGAATTATAAGCCAAATAAAATTAAAACTGCCCTGAAGATAAGGATAGTGCTGACAGATCAACTTCCAATTCATTGCGCGCTGCGTCATTTCCCTCCCCCCCAGCAGAGCAGCGTGAAACTGATAAACATATTTCGGAATGACTAGATAATCAAAGGATATGCCTTTACCATTTTTTGCAGCAATTCCTTTTTCTATTTAAGGGACTTCGAAACATACTTTCGCTTTGTAGATCCTTTACATATTAGTAAATATATATCGGAAATTCTATTTGACATAATCGAAAGTTCAAGTTTACTTTTATAAAATTGCTCTAACAGTCTGCAAAAAATAATAAGCCAGATCCAATTCGAAGATTAAGGAACAACGCAATCTGTAACATTAATTGAATTAGATAATTTTAGCTTAGCTTATACCATCCGCTATACATTAAACGCGCATACGTAAACGTATTATGCAATTATGCGCATGCGCACACACATATTCGCAGCCGTAAAGGTCTTATGCGCACGCGTAAACGCCTATGCACGTGTGTCAACTCGACGCATGCGCAGAAAGTTTGTAGCTTTGAGGTCCGGATTATGTGTGTCTGAATTAATGATTTTTGACTGTAGTACAAATTCCGAGATCCTGACTCGTTAGGACTTTGGCTGTTCCGGATTGATAAAAATTATAAAATAAAAAACACAAAATCATGATTTATGAAATAGTTAAGCATTTATGAAGGGTATCATAATTTACCCCCTCAAAAAAAATATTTATTTACTTTATTAAACATTTCTTTCAGTGTAAGTTGTTAAATTGCTTCGTTTTTTGTGCTAATACTTTCTTTTTAATTCTATAGACAGATATAATTTCTTGTTCAGTTACAAAGTTCCATTCTTCAAGTAATTGCTGTATCATGAATTCCGACTAATTTGTCAATCGAAAATGTTTCGTTTTCAATAACCTCTCACACTTTCCTCTGTATTGGTAGTAGTATTCTCTGGATTTAGATTCATATTACAGATTTTGCCGTCCATTAATTGACTGATGATTGGGGCATTGCCATCGCAATGAAAATCTGTTATATCATCTTCATTTGTTACTGCATCTCCAGATTTCTGTACTAAATATATTAATTAGAAAATTTCATCTTTGGTTTGCGATATCTGAAAACTTGGGTTTGCAATATCTTGGCTATGATTTTCATCATCCTCACCATGAAATGTAGTAGCTGGCCATAAATTATGCCAGGCATTTTTAAAGTATCTGGTGACACATACTTTCATGGTCTTGCAATGCTCCACACAGCGGATTTTATGCTAAAATATTTAAAAAATTCTTGAATAGTCTTGCTATTATTCAAGGAATTTAACATGGTCAAAAATGCTACTTTATATTTACAGCACATGCACTATTCCGATATCTATAAGCTGTGAATGATAGATGTCTAGTTTGGCGCAAAGAATAATACCTCTACATTGTCTTTCAATAAAACTTTTAAGTGAAGTATGAGGCGTACAGTTGTCTACAATCAGGATAATTTTAGTGTCATTAAGTAAACCAACCGAATTCAGATGTTGTCGAGCCTTGGGTATAAAAGGATTTTCAAACCAATAATTTATTAACGCTTGTGTCATCCATGCTGTTTTATTTGCACGATATATAACGGGGGAAATCTTTACTCCTTTAAATGCTTCAGGTCGTGTATTTTTTCCGATTACGAAAACTTTATTACTTGTGCGTTCCTGCAGTATTTGCACATACTGAAATTGTTAGTCTAGTTTTGGAATCTTTCACATCAGTTAGAGCCTGTTCTTTAGAGCTTGCGAAGGTATTTCATAGTATATATTGCCAGAATAAATTTGCTCTGGATAAAAATTTTCTTTACTATTGAGTTTTGCAAATAGTTCTGTAGCTTCAGTACTACCTGGAGCATTTTAAAATTTGGTTTAACCAACCTGTTGAAAATGTGCGCTCAGTTTTTAAGTTCATTTCTTCATGAAATATCTTGGCTCGACCCATTAGCATTGGAACAGTAAATGGACGCCCTCACTGCAACACTGTCTGACCCATTCAATCGTAATTTTGTCATGATCGTCACTTTTAGCGCCATGAATAATTTTTTTTGTTATTCTTTACAAGTGGAGTGTCAGAATCCTCAAAAAGTTCCGTTTACTTGTGTCATATAGAGTTGACTTTCCATTGCCTTACCTCCTCGCATAATTTTCGCATAATAAATCATAATTTATGATATAAAGAACAATTATGATCTAAAGGGTATCAAAATTTAAAAAAAAAAAAAAAAAAAAAAAAAAAAACTTAGTTTATAACTTTAATTTTCCACAGAAATTTGTTTTTGATTTTAAAAAATTTCGTTGGCATAATTGTATTCACTTCTGCAAATAGATATTAGCATCTGCATCTATTAATGGATGCAGAATGTTTTTGTACCTTACATAATTTTAAACCGTATGTAACCTTACATAATTAATAACAAAATTAAAACATAGATCAGAAATTTCATAAAATTTAATTAATAATTATTACTAGTGTCACACGAATGGAATTAATAAAATAAGAATGAGATAAAATATTTATTTGTTTACTTTATTAAACATTTCTTTCAATGTAAGTTGTTTAAGGTGCTTCCACAAAAAATTCAAAAAGTTCTTTTTTCTTGTGTTATATCCAGTGGACTTTCCAGTGCCATACTCCTCGCATAATTTCAAGACGAATATACCTTTATTGATTTTTTTTTTTGCAGCACTTCCACTTTTTGTTTAATAGACGTCAAAACATGCATTTGATCATGTTGGAGCTCCAGAATTAGAAACTATTTTGTACATAATTGAAAGTTCAATTTTGTATTCATAAAATTGTTGTAATAATAAAAGTCTGCAAAAAATAATAGGCTGGATCAAATCAGAAATTCCAGGAAGTGTAATCTGCCATATTAACTGAAATTCCTTGGAATCAATAAAGTATAATTTTAGCCTAGCTTAATAGCGCCCGCTATACATTTTTGGCTATGTGACATGAGATTGGCGCCGGAAGACAAGTTGTTCCGCTAAATTTTGTTTTGCTTCTATCACGCGCACTGAGACAATTGATTCGGAATTTTATTTAGTTATTTACTATACTTACATCTATTTTTGGCAAATGCTTAAGACTTATCTTAGTCCTGAATAAATAAATACCTACATTATGCTTCAGATTTGTCGAGGGCTGGTACTAGGTATCATACTGCCTTGATGTAGGCTTTGTGGGTCCTAAATTCTGCTACCAAGCACCCCCCTAAGTTCTAAATTTTTGCCTACCTTAAATTTTGGGTCTTAGTGCTTTACCTAAATTCTAAAATTTTGCCATCCCTTAATTTTGTTGTTTGACGCTTCTCCAAATTCCAAAAATTCTGTATTTCCTAAATTCTGCTGTCTGGTGCGGCCATACGAGCTCTGCCGCCGGTTCTGGATTTATGTGAATAACAAATCAGTTATTCATAATTCAAATAGCACTAAATGTAATCTTTTGGTCTATGAGTATCAGTCAGTAACAAATCAGTTATTGTTAATTCAGGTAGCACTAAATTTAATCTTTTGGTCTATGAGTATCATTAACAAAATCTATATTTAGCATTTGGAAAGGAATTTTTGTTAAATGTTTTTTCGTTAATATTTCTTAGCTCATTTAACTTAAATCTGTAATCATCGCCAAGCATAATGCCAACAGAAAAGTCTATCGTACTCTTTGTTATTCTATTACTAATATATAAAAATTATTTAGGCATCACTGCATGAGTCTTTACTCAAGTTGTCATGTGTTGGATACACATGCTGTGATGAAAGCAAAATATAATAAATAATGATCTGCGAAGTTGTCATCAGAGATATAAAATATTAGTAGGTGTAAAATCAATATGTTTCAGTTTGAGATGTATGCCAAGCAGGTACACAGCTACGAGTCAAATTATTGATCACACAAATCTATGCTAAAACGATTGCTTCTTCAATAATGAATTATTTTATTTACCGCTGAAGTGAAATTAAGAGTCAAGACTTTCGTCATGTTTTATTATTGGGGGGGGGGTCAAAAAAAGAAAAAAAAAACAAGTACACATGTGTAAAACATACCCCCCTCCCCCCAAAAAAAAAGTCTCGGGGAAAAGTTGTTGATGTCTTTGAGGTCCAGATCATTCCAGATATTGGACATCATGATCTCGGACTTTGCATTGTATATCTTTTTTTTTTAATAAAATATTTACATATTCACTTTAATTTCATTCATTCATCATATTTTTACATTCTGTTTCAGGATATGGTCATGCTGAATGGCTTCGGCACCATTGTAAATGCTTTGGGGAAACGTGTGAAACCGTACCTGCCACAGATCTGTGGTACTATTTTATGGAGACTGAATAACAAATCTGCTAAAGTGCGTCAGCAAGCTGCTGATTTAATATCACGTATTGCTGTAGTCATGAAAACTTGTCAAGAAGAAAAACTCATGGGACATTTAGGTGTTGTATTGTATGAATATTTAGGTGAAGAGTATCCTGAAGTATTAGGATCAATATTGGGAGCTTTAAAGGCAATTGTGAATGTGATTGGCATGCATAAAATGACACCACCTATTAAGGATTTGCTACCGAGATTGACTCCTATCTTAAAAAATAGGTAAGTGAATATCATAACCTACACGACAAATTTTTATGCATAAATTGAGCTAGAAATGACTGTTGTATGGCTAAAGTTTTAGTCAGGATATTTTAAAAATGCAGTATGCCGCCCAACCATTTTAAGTGACTGTGACTGCCGTACCGAAGGGCCTGGGTTCAAATCCTGGAGCAGACTAGGATGTTTGTAAATGTATATTATCTGTGTGGCATGGAGGCACTCTAAATATGCTGCAAGTCAGAAGTTCTCTCAAGAGGTTGGTGAAAGACTTAAAACCCTCGTCTAGGGTCTTGTCCCTCAAAGTAAGGGCCGAAACTGGTCTAAAGTTGGGCTGTTGTCTATATGGTACTCAAGGCTCACGCCAACAACAGACGTATTTGACTCCTTACCATGATGAATATCGGGGCCTTGTGCTGTTCATTGTCAGGCAAGTGAGATAAGGCAAGAACGAAAATGCAGTATTGCTGAATTTTGGTCATGTAGGTTTTAATTGAAGTATTTGTAAACTTAGACAAAAGTCATATTACGACAGTGATAGTTTCTGCTTAAATATTAAGCCATCAGGTACAATATAATTATGTTCGATTTGTATTTATTGTTATTTTGATATCTTTTAATAAACAATTTGATATAATTATATCTGTGAAGCAATATCTAATTTCTTAACAATGAATATACTAAAAGATGTAACAGAAAATGCTGTGTTTTTTAATTCATGAATTTATAAATAGATTCTGTAATGTTGAAAAAGATTTCAGTATAAAAAATGTGTATTTTTAGGCATGAAAAAGTGCAAGAAAATTGCATCGATTTGGTTGGAAGAATAGCAGATCGTGGTGCTGAATATGTATCTGCAAAAGAATGGATGCGAATATGTTTTGAACTTCTAGAACTTTTGAAAGCTCACAAAAAGGCAATTAGGCGAGCTACAGTGAACACCTTTGGTTATATTGCTAAAGCCATTGGACCTCATGATGTGTTAGCTACACTTTTGAATAATTTAAGGGTATGTAGATTATTAAATACTTTTACATCTGGAATTTTTTTCATGCTATTTTTAATATATTTATAGTCTAGAATAGAATGAACTTGGATTTTAATCGTTTGTAACGCTACATATGAAACTATAAGTGGCATAATTATTTTAGCTGCTAACTAAAAAGTGGGTATTCTTGATTATAGAAATGGCTTTATGTGAAAGCTTTTCATATAAATGGATGCTTTTTATTTTCCATTCCATATTTAATCCTTTACTACTTGCACGAAATCACATAGCAAACTTCATGCAAGGTATATTTTGTACAACTTATATTTTTAAATTTTGAAGAAAGTAAATGAATGTTTTATAAGATAAATTACGATAGTTGAGCAATGTAAATTTGTAACCTATGTAGTAATAACTTACTCTTTTATAAATTTATACTCAGTGAAAAGGAAATAAAACAAGCAAAAAACAATAAAATCTCATGAAATAAATAGCTTTAATAAATAGCTGAAATAAGTACTTTAGTTGTAACTGCGTTTGTAGACATTAATTCTGTATTAATGTCTACAAACGCAGTTACAACTAAAGTACTTATTCTGTTAACAACTTTTGAGGAGTGTTCTTTGCAGATGAATATATTGCAGGCCCAGCACTTCATATTGTACTTCTGTTTCATTTTGTCTTTTATAATTGTCCAGCAATCCCTTACTGAAAATGACAGGCTGGCTAACTTAGCTTTTTTCTTTGAAATGTCATTTCATAAGATTCATTGCTAAATTTGTTTTTTTTGAAAATGCTGTCCTGATTTGGATTCTTAGAATTGTACATAATTTGTGCATTTATCCCAGCAATATTCAGTAGCTCAAATAATATTCAAACAAGCCATCTGTTTGTTCCTCTTGAAACAGAGTAGTTTCAATACCCTCGATCAACCCCTTTTGATGTGCTTTAAAAAAAAAAGTATAACTTCAGGTTATATATTTAAGCTCGTAGTTTATTTTTATTTGCAATCGATAACCTAAAATCAGAAAAATAAGCAAAAACAATATTATGCATTTCAGTTAGAAATAGGAAAAAGGACAAATAATGAATAAAAGTCATGAAAATATAGTGCTTACAGTTTCCTTGTTCTGTTCCAGACATTGGCTTTTACCTCATGGCATATTCCATTTGCAATAATTTCCTGCTCGTTGTATTCTATTCTCCAGAGACTTGTAACCAGAGACTACAAAACACTGTTGAGTTTTCGAAGATTAAATGAAAATGACAAGCTGCCTATGTCCCTCAGTGAATTCAAGGATGAAGCAGAGATAAATAAGTGTCCAACAAATCTCTAATGGTGTGCAAAATAGTGAGCAGCAGTAATTAAGGGTTAATTTATGAAACATTTTGTTTTCAATTCATTTAATTTTATCCAAGCATTTATGGAATCGAAAAGTAAATCTTCTCTGCCTCACTACAATCAAGAATCAGTAAAATCCTTATGTATGTAAAATCCTTATGTTATGTAAAATCCTTATATGTTCTTGAGTGACATAATAGTTATAGCGAATATTTAATATTTAGAAAATTTACCATAAAATAATATATGTGTTGGAGAGAGGGAATTATGCATCACTAGCTCAGATTTTTTGGGGGGTAGGGGATAGAATTTTGGATTAAATTTTAGAAAATAAGATTTTGATAATTTTATATTGGTAATTTGTAACTTCTGGCAAAACAGTTTTATTAGATTTTAAAAAAAATTGTGCTTCAGAAAATTGTCTAACGATTTATACTTAATTTTAAATGACTCTTAATAGTAAAATAACAGCGAAATTTTATCAATATTTGTCATTTAGAATAGCTACATAGTAGAATAACAGCAAAATTTTATCAATATTTTGTCATTTAGAATAGCTACATGTGCACTTTATGTGTCAGACACTATTCGTGTGTTTTTCTGTAATTGCTTGACTGATAAAACACAAATATTAAACATGTGATGACTTTCCCTTTGCAATTTAAGCACACACGTTACAATTTGTATAAATACTGGATGTGAAATAGAGTAAATATACAGGTATTCACTATTAAAAAAGATATCTTGTGGCTAAAGAATTTATGAAGCATTTAATCAGTGTTGTTTGCTGGATGTTTGGGGTGCTGTAATAACCAGGATGTTAGTTTATTTCTTTTTGGCTTTTGAAAGGCACTGAGACATGAGCATTTGTTGATGATTCTTTTTTCAGAAATAGCACTCATCAAGAAGGTAAAATATTTTGTGTCTTGACTCTTGGTATCATCTTGCAATTGTCATATCTAAATGCATGTTGCTAGGAAAGTTTGAAGTATTGTTTCTGTGCGCAGTGTTGCTTTCACGATCACAAGATTGAAAAATTGTAAGGCTGATGTTATCTGTAATTATGCTTAGAAAATTCTTTGAGAAATGACTTGAATGACTTTACATTGTAATAGGAAGTATAACACTACTTTACATAAAGAAAGCCCTTTACTTCAAAGTTTGAGAATATTTAACTAAATAAAAATGATTATTATATGTATTTAATTTTCTGCATAAGTTTCCATGATAAAGTGCTTTGAATTAATGAAAATATAAAAATTGAGCATCCTCATATTTGCAGTAATTATATTTTTATAGGTGCAAGAGCGTCAAAATCGTGTTTGTACAACTGTTGCCATTGCCATTGTAGCAGAAACTTGTTCACCATTCACAGTCCTTCCTGCATTAATGAATGAATATAGAGTACCAGAATTAAATGTACAGAATGGAGTTTTAAAGTCTCTTTCTTTTCTGTTTGAATATATTGGTGAAATGGGAAAAGATTATATATATGCTGTTACACCTCTATTGGAAGATGCACTCATGGACAGGTAAATTCCTTATGTTTTAGAGTATAGTAATTTTTTCTTTTTTTGTGAAGTTCAGTTTGTTTGCTTGATTGTAGTTAACAATTTCCATCTCAGAGGCATTTGAGCTTATTATATTGCAAAGTTTGAGCAATTGTTCACTGACCTCTGTTAGTGGAATAGATTACAAAGAAAAGGAACTTTATTCTTGTAAATTTTATTAATAAAGTAGGCTTTGAACATTGATTTTGTTATTCATAAAATAAACCATTTATACTACCAGAATTTAGTTAAATTTTTAGTTCCAACTGAAATTAATTATTAACCATTTTGCATTTAAAGCGTTAAAAATTGCATTGGCACTTTATTATAAGAGCAAGGAGTAGGAATGTGAAAGGGTTTGGGCATTCTTTGCCTTTAGAAAAAAGTACACATACTGAACTGTTTAACTGTAAAATTCATGTTCTTGTGATGAAAATAGTAAAAATTTAATTTCATATCCTGTTTATTTTGTAAGAGATTGATGTTCATGTTTCCAAGGCAAATTTAAAAAATGATTACGTGGAAATCTGCAAAATTAGGGTTCTCTCTCTCTCTCTTTTTTTGGGGGGGGGAAGGGGGTGGACATGCCTTTTACAGATATGTTATTACAGTTTTGATAGTGGAAAAAAAAGTTCTTTGACCTGGCAGTTATTTATGAACATTAATAAGTTATTCAAGTAAAGTTCCAAAGGTTAAAAATCCTAACTAGAACCCCTTAATATTCTATTTCTTTTTGCTGTTATAAGTGATATATATACATTAGCAGACCATGACTAAATAATTTTGCTTAAATGATGTTTGTGAATACATTTAAGTAGCTAAATTACTATTGTAGATCATGTGATTCAAGTAGCATAATAAAATGTTCTTCTACCTGGATGGGCTGTTATTAGGAAGCATTAAAGTAAGGACATCTTATCAGGAGCTCAGCATTATATTAATGTGTAAATAATGTCATTTTAATGTGCAAGAAACGTATCTCTATTAAAGAATCACTTATTATTCTTTTCATGTTAACTGACACAGTTAATATTCTTGACTGCTATTTAATAAAGGAAAATATTTTTCATTTTCAACAGATACCCAGAGCTGTCCAATTACATGACTATCCAAGTACCCAGGTGTTCTTATGATTGGTATAAATCATTTTGTTAGTATGGGGCAAAATAGAGATTTCAGCAGTTACAATGAAGGAAAATTTGCAGTACCTGACATGTTATCTGATACATTTATTACTCTTGAATATCCAGTAAAAGGAAGTTGTCTTCTAGTTAAATTGCAAACAATGGATATTCAGGTCTCTGGGATTAGATGGGTATCCAAGCACCAGTGAGTTGGTATGATTGGCATAAATGGTGTAAAATAGATTTCAGGAGCCACACTGAGTGATCATTTATTGTTCCTTTTAAATTTCCTAATTAATGTATTACTATAATTTATTTAATGAAAGAATTAAAGCTAGTCTTCTGGTTAAGATGTGTGTAAGCAATATTCCAATTAGATAGCTACCCAGCACCCAAAAGTCTGTGTAGTTGAAACATTTATTACTGTTGAATATTCAGTAAAAGAAGTTCAGTCTCTCAGTTAAGCTGCCTACAACCGATATTTAGATATCACCAATAAATGGGTAACCACCCACGAGCCATTGGTATAAATCATTTTGTTCATACAGTGCAAAATAGAGTCTTCAGCAGCCACAATAAGTGATCGCTTATTGTTCCTTTCATGTCAACTGATACATTTGTTACTATAGCATAGTTTTTCTGTTAAGATGCCTACATTGTATATTTATATTGTTCCTATTACATGGCTATGCAGTAACACAATAGTCTGTGTGGTTGGTAAAAATCATGTTGCCTAAATAATGCAAAATAGAGACTTCAGCTAAAATAAAAAATTATTCATTTTTTTTTCTTATGCTAGCAGGTATATCTATTACTGTTGAATAATCAGTGAAAGAAATTTAGTTTACTGCTAAGATGTCTGCAACAGATTTTCAGATAGCTCCAATTAGGTAGGTATTGAAGCACTCATGAGTTGATGCGACTGGTATAATTCGTGTCATTCGTATGGTGCAAAATAGAGATTTCAGCAGCCACATTGAGGGATCATTTATAGTCCCGTTCCATATCAGCTGGTATACATATTACTATACCGTACTGAATGAATGAAGTGAAGGTAGTCATCTAGTAAAGATGCATGTAATTGTCAGTGCGGTTGATATAAATCATGTCTTCCAGATAGTGAAAAATATTTTGGAAGCTAAACTTAAGTACCATTTGTTGTTTCTATGCTCACTGATACAGTTATTACTGATGAAAATTCAATAAAAGAAATTAAGTATCCCTGTTAAATAGCGTACAGCAGATATTCAGATATATCCGATTAGATGGATATTAAAGCACCCATGGGTCTGTCTGATTGGTATCAATCATGTTGTTTATATGTTGCAAAATACAGATTTCAGCCACCACTACTAAGGATAATTTAATGTTCCTTTCATTAAAATCAATACATGTATTACTGTAGCATATTGAATGAAAGAAATAAGCTTGTCAGCAATGTATATTGAGGTTTCCAATTAGCTAGGAATCTAAATGCCCAATAATGTGTGATGTAAAATATGTCATCCAGAAAGGGAAAACTAGAAATTTCAGTACGTAACATAAAGAATCATGTTTTCTCTTTCTTGCATGTTAGCTGTATATTACTGTTGAATATTCAGTAAAAGAAATGTATTTTCATTGTGAAGATCCATACTGCAGAGATTCAGATATCTCCAGTAACATGGGTATTTAGGCACCCATGAGTCGATGTGATTGGTATAAATCATGTCGTTCGTATGGTGCAAAATAAAAATTTCAGCAGCCACAATGAATAATCATTAATTGTTCTTTTCCTGTTAGCTGATACATGTATTATGATAACATACTGAATGAATGAAGGTAGTCTTCTAGTTAAGAAGTATGTAATTTTGTCCGTGTGATTGCTTTAAATCATGTACAAGATAGTGGAAAATAGAGATTTCAGCAACTAAAATAAAGAGTCCCTGTTAAGATGTCCACAACAGATATTCAGATATCTCCAATTAGATAGGTATTGAAGCACCCATGAGTCGATGCGATTGGTATAAATTGTATCGTTCGTATGGTGCAAAATAGAGATTTCAGCAGCCACATTGAGGGATCATTTATTGTTCCTTTCATGTCAGCTGACACAAGTATTACTATACCATACTGAATGAATGAAGTGAAGGTAGTCTTCTAGTAAAGATACATGTAATTGTCAGTACACTTGGTCTAAATAATGTCTTCCAGATAGTGGAAAGTGATTTCATGAGGTAAACTAAAGTATCATTTGTTCTTTTTTGTATGCTAACTGATACATTTATTACTGATGAAAATTCAGCAAAAGAAATTTGGTTTCCCTGTTAAGTAGCATACAACAGATATTCATATATGTCCGATTAGATGGATATTAAAGCACCCATGGGTCGGTGTGATTGGTATCAATGATGTTCTTTATATGTTGCAAAATACGGATTTCAGCTACCAATATTAAGGATAATTTAATGTTCCTTTCATTTAAGCCAATACATGTATTACTGTAGCATATTGGACGAAAGAATTAAGCTTGTCTTTCGGTTTGTTACCAATGTTAGCTGGGTATCTAAACGCCCAATAATGTGTCATATAAAACATGTCATCCAGATAGCATAAAAGATAGGGAAAACTAGAAATTTCAGCATCTAACATATAGAATCATTTTTTTTTCTTTCTTGCATGTTAGCTAATACATATATTACTGTTGAATATTGAGTAAAAGAAATGTATTTTTGCTGTGAAGATCCATACTGCGGAGATTCAGATATCTCGAATTGCATGGGTAGCACCCATGAGTCGATGTGATTGGTATAAATAATGTCGTTCGTATGGTGCAAAATAGAGATTTCAGCAGCCACAATGAATGGTCATTAATTTTTCTTTTCATGTTAGCTGATACATGTATTACGATAACATACTGAATGAATGAAGATAGTCTTCTAGTTAAGAAGTATGTAATTTTGTCTGTGTGATTGCTTTAAATCATGTACCAGATAGTGGAAAATAGAGTTTTCAGCAACTAAAATAAAGCGTCCCTGTTAAGATGTCTACAACAGATATTCAGATATCTCCAATTAGATAGGTATTGAAGCACCCATGAGTCGATGTGATTGGTATAAATTGTATCGTTCGTATGGTGCAAAATAGAGATTTCAGCCGCCACAGTGAGGGATCATTTATTGTTCCTTTCATGTCAGCTGGCACATGTATTACTATACGATACTGAATGAATGAAGTGAAGGTAGTCTTCTAGTAAAGATACATGTAATTGTCAGTACGGTTAGTCTAAATAATGTCTTCCAGATAGTGGAAAGTGATTTCATGAGGTAAACTAAAGTATCATTTGTTCTTTTTTTGTATGCTAACTGATACATTTATTACTGATAATAATTCAGTAAAAGAAATTTGGTTTCCCTGTTAAATAGCATACAACAGATATTCAGATATGTCCGATTAGATGGATATTAAAGCACCCATGGGTCGGTTTGATTGGTATCAATGATGTTCTTTATATGTTGCAAAATACAGATTTCAGCTACCAATATTAAGGATAATTTAATGTTCCTTTCATTTAAGCCAATACATGTATTACTGTAACATATTAGACGAAAGAATTAAGCTTGTCTTTCAGTTTGTGACCAATGTTTGCTAGGTATCTAAACGCCCAATAATGTGTCATATAAAACATGTCATCCAGATAGGAAGAACTAGAAATTTCAGCATCTAACGTATAGAATCATTTTTTTTTCTTTCTTGCATGTTAGCTAATACATATATTACTGTTGTATATTCAGTAAAAGAAATGTATTTTTACTGTGAAGATCCATACTGCGGAGATTCAGATATCTCGAATTCCATGGGTATGCACCCATGAGTCGA